TTAATCGTTGTTATTGAATCATTCTAGTCCACTGCGACCAAATATTAAATAACTAAAATCGAACAATGAAGTAATCTTATTTTCGTCGAACTACCACAATTATTATCATAACTATATTTGTATTATATTTGTTATACAATTATTCCATAATATCCAAAAGCAAACCTGAATTCATCGGTCACCATTATTTGAACGAACAAAAATTTGTACAACGTTACATCGCAAAATTCGTTTCAAATCCATCCATTTTTGCTGACCAAGGAGAAGTTCCAAGAGACAATCTTGAGTTAAGACTGCCTATAAATCTTTACCGTCGAAAACGGCGGGCCACGTTCGTACGATATATCCGATTCACGTCGCGATCTTTAATACGACCGCTCACATTTAAACTGCTAGAAATTACCCTCGTGCTAGAAGTTATCCGATAGGACGACTGTTCCTCGGAAAATATCACTGGGCGATTCATATTCCCAGGAAAGACACTCTATTCAGGACGCGCTTTACATCGGCCAGATTTCAGAGTCGTTTCTCTCCTCTACTTTTACCTCCTTTTCCCGGCGTGCGTACGTATTCCAGATTCAGAATATTCCCTGTCCTCAGAGATTACAGGAGATTAATCGGAATATAGGAAATAAATACGACGCAGATGTAAAACGAACGGTCGGGCAGCTGCTTTTTCATGTCCATGAATTTATAAGGCTACGAAGATAGCGAACATACGTCGGCCCACAAAAGTACTCGTGCACAAGGATTAACTGCGTTCAGTTTAATTTTATTGGCCTTTTAAGCACCGTTTTTTTTTTACGGAAGAGACTTCTATACAATTAAAGGAAAGTTCTTAATCGCCGGGGACACGTTAACTAGGAGCATTAAGCGTTAAAAATGCCTACTTAAAATGTCTCGTAGGTTCTCGTGAAAACTTTGACAGTGTTTAATTGTACAATGGAAAGGAAGATCAAAACGTTGCGCAGCAGAAGATAAATGCTTGGTTAAAATGTTAAGGCAGGTATGTGGAAAGGGCACGATAATGTTATTTCTCTGTAGTTAATTTTATTGTGCAAACTTTGTATCAAGTGATCTTGACTTTCTTAAAATGTGTAATACTTTGACAAGCTACCAATTTGAATGCCATCAATATGTTTCTATATTTGCAGTCAATATAAAGCAGATCCATTGTTGATTTTTACTTTATTTGTACGTTTTGGATTAATTGTTTATAAGTCATACGAAAATATTACCCTACTCTAACAGAAATGCTTTCGTTTTTTTTTAATAGAATCTGTTGGTAACGTTCTACGGATGTAAAGTGTGCAAATAAATGCAGATACATATTGGAGCACTGACATAATCTCTTTCCGTTCTGTATTTTGTAGTAAATCAACATGAAATAAAAAGTGTAGTCTGTTACCCTGGTTTACTGTTTTTGAAGTAAGTAAAATTTGCTAAGATGAAAATGATGAAAAACATGAATATTCTACCCCTTTTTGTCATTCCAATTAATTGTAGTTTTTTTTTTAATTTGTTAGCCATTATATAATAATCTAGACTCCCTAACATCATAAAAAAGTTCAAGTCAAATCGTTTGATTTAAAAATAGTTATTCCATTTTCAAGAGGTCGTTGATTCATTTTTTCGTCAGCAATAACCCTACAAAATCGAAATCAAAATTTAAACAGTAAAGGTAAGCTCGACTTTTAGTAGAAAAACACAACAATTTATGAAATTTATTATTTTTCAATATGTGGCCGACTAAATACTTATTAATTTTCATTGAAACATTTTTTTGTTGGACTGTCGAAAGAGCTTGATATAGTCCTTCTTTTACACCCTGTACATGTAACAATCCTGTATTTGCTAAACGAACGATCCGGTTTAAGCCACTAATAAATAAATAAATAACTAAATGTTTCATCCCCGGTCGAATAACTGGTTCCACAATTTTTATTCTACAATCGTTGGAATAACAAACACGCTTCCGCTGGATACCATTAAATCAATTTATTCGTCCGAACACAAATTAACATAAAAATTGGAATAAACCTAAACGAAGTCAACCTCGTAATTTTTATAAGAAGAAGTTGTAGTTAAAGTCATAACAAAAATTCCACCGGGAATAATTAAAAAACTGTATTTAGCCAAGCACAAATTAAGATAAAAATTAGAATATATCTAAATAAATTCAACTTTGTAATTCTTATAAGGAAACACAGCCGAGTTACATTCGACGCTCGGTACAGCTACTGTTCAAAAGCGTATTTAACACACTTCTTTCCTCCAGAATCGGAAGTTCCATTTCAGTGGCGAGAACTCCGAAGAAATTGGAAAGGACCTAAAAATCCGTATCCGTCACAGCGCAGAGCAGCCTGCAGACACAGTGTCGGCTTGTCGCGGGCATGATATCGAATTGCGTAGTCATATGTGAAGCCAGAGACGACGTGTGACGCGGCGATCGCCCAAGGAAATTCAGATCGCGTAGCTAGCGTGTCTACAAGATTTTCCGGGACGCGTGTCGCGCGACCTATCCCTTCGGTGGCGTTCCTAGATCGTGATCCAGGAGACGATCTCTCCGGCTGGGGTAAGAGAAAATAAAAGTACACGGCGCGCTTCGAATCTCGGTGGATTCGCGTTACACGAGCCGTCTACGAAATAAGAGAAAAGTACCTACTATGGAACACAGCTCGATTGTGCTCCCTACTTGAAACAGTAGCACAAACAATGCAACGAAGATTGGATAGGAGCTTATGAAAGTGGATGCAAAGATTCAGCCCATATTTTTAAACATTGTTCTCTATAAATTTACTCGTGCAAACACTGTTCCGTAACAAACAGTTGTAAAAAAGACGTTTATTCGAATACAGGTATTTGAACGGTTGGCATCTAAATTGCAGTTTTTCGAACGAAAGCAGAACTAGTTACGGTCTTTTTGCTACGCTATAAGAATGTACGGGGTGTTAGGAAATTATATGTCACGACCGTTGCAGCGTGATTCAACAGCTTCGGATAGGTAGAGATTTTATAAAGTTACCGCAAAATTGATCCTGAGCATGATTTTCACGTTCCAAGTTTTTTATTATTGCAGGAGGAATAATAGTCTCAGAGCAACCATGGGTTAAAATTCAGCATTCATTCATAATAGCACAAATTAAAAGATATAATAATAAAAAAAGTACCTTGCACTCGATAGCCAATTCAAGTCGATGCTTGTAATTAAAAATAATATGTACGAATGTGTTGTTTGCGAGGGAGAAATGTCTTTTGCAAAATAAAGAAATTGAATATGGAACACGGGAACATGGTACGAAAACGGTGTCCCATAATAGATACATGCTCGTATTATTTTTTATTCATATTAAATAAATATTTCAAAGTTAATTACATTTCAATCTGTCAACGTCCATCTATCGAACACTAGTATAATAAGTATTCAACAATAACACTTTTCAATTGTAATCAAATCAATGGTAATCTTGTACCCGTGAACAGCGTTCCATAATAGGTACTTTTATCTTAGCCGGCGTTATTCCGCGGTGTATACTCTGCAGATATGATCTCGGCGGGCGACTGTAATCGTTGGATAACTCAACCACCCGCACCCTTCTCCTAGAAGCTGGCGGGCTAGAGGATAAAGAGGGGATGGATATGGCAAAGTGACCGTATCGGGGGTTTGCTTGGAGTCTTTGCGACGGAGGATCCTCCGAGCACGGATTAGGGACAAAATGGAGCACGGATTAAGCGCAAGTTCGTATTCCCGGTTGGTAATTAGCGGATGAAAACTGAAAACCGGGCCAACGAACGTAACGGAACGGAACGGAACGAATGTCTCCGTCGTGTAATTAAATGTCACAGCGTTTGATTATAATTAATCGTATCGGGAGTATCATGCCGGATTATGGTAGCGCGTTCTGAAGGACGCCTTCTAATTGAAGTCCACGGGGTACGCCGTGTAATTAATTCCGGATCGATTTCCTTCGCGGCAGGAAGTGTGTTTGAACGTTTACACGGTGTCCACCGGTGACGCGATGAAGATGCTCGTTTCTTTGGAATCTTGCTGGCTCATCGCCGCTGATGGGTTTCCCCGGGAAAATGAAGTTCGGTGGTGCGTTTACAGCGAGACGCCAAGCGGATGTTACGTATTAACGTTCCACGTTTCTACGGCTTAATCTGTTCTTTGATAACGGATTGACGCGATAGTTGGAAATTAATAAAATGGAACAATGAATAGTAAATAATTCTGTACATTCTTTCTTCGAGATAGGAGGGTAACCAATTATGCTTGTAATTCATTTTCAGGAATAATTAACTTTATACTGATCGAATAAGACATGTTAAATTATTTTTATTTCAATTCAATCGATTATGTATTTGTTAAAATGAAACGAACAAACGACAAAGGTTACTAAAATACCACAGAAATTATTTCAATTTTTTGATACCGAAATCGCGAAATTTTCTGTAAACCTTGTGAAGAAAAGTAAGAATAGTGAACGGATGGAGATCAATATTCAGTAAACACATTGTACATATTTGTTTCACATATAGCTTTATACAAATATGTGTAATGTATATATTTGATTGAAATAAAATTTTATTCCAATTAATACGTACATTAAACATATTTGTTTCACACATAGCTTTTATTCAAACACGCATAATATACATATTTGATTAAAATGTATTTCGATTTAAATATCTATAATGTATACATGTCAATGTGAATAAAACTGCACTTGAAAATACTTTCATTTGTAACGGTAGACTATAAGTACAACTTCTGACTGAAAATCGAAACCGCGTGGTTCATTCAACCTCGCCTGGTTCGCGGATAGTCGAACGTGTTTCCGGTCAATGTCCTCGACAACGCGATGCCGTATAGTTTATTCAGTCGATTTACAAAGACGAGCCGAGAAGGAAAATTGTTCTGCCTGCCGTTCCCCTTGCCGGCGCGGCTTCTTCATAATTGATCGACCAATTGGTATATACGTTCCCTATTTTGTTTTCAGGTCTCACTGGCGAGTTGTACTACGTGCAAGAGGGGGTGGTCAATACATACGCGATGAAGTTCGTCGTGCCGGTGCAGTCTAACGTTCAAGACCTCGAGTTCTCTTGGCAGAGCCTGGTCGGACATCCGGTGAGTACAAATCTGAAAGGTCACGTTATGCAAAGGAAATGCCATCCTGCCGTTTCATGGCGCCGTGAAACACAAACTTCTGGCGAGGCTTCGTATCATCTTGCAGCTACAAATTCTTGTAAGCTATTAAGTCGAACTATTGGGTTGGCAACTAAGTAATTGCCGATTTCAGTTATAGATGTCTCTCACTCCCATTTTTATGATATCCGTAAATGTTATATTATAAAATTATTATTATGTTATTTTGTATTATCCGCGAATGTTAGCAACTGGACAAATTGAATGCAGCGGTCAAGGAAAAGCGAGCAGAATTGGTCAATCGTAAAGGTGTCATTTTCCAGCAGGACAATGCTAGGCCGCACACGTCTTTGTCCACTTGGCAAAAATTCATGGATATTAATTGGGAATTGATGTTACACCCACCATATAGCTCTGATCTCGCGCCATCGGATCACCACTTATTTCGATCCCTGGACAACTCCCTTCGTGGTGAAACTTTTAATGACGATGACGCTGTAAAATCTCGCTTAACTCAGTTTTTGGCCGAAAAGGATCAGACTTTCTACGAGCGTGGAATTTTCAAGTTGTCGGAGAGATGGCAAAAGGTCATCGAACAAAATGGAAAATACATTACAGATTAAACTTCGATCCAAGTAAAAAAGGATTTTTTATTTCATTGAACAAATCGGCAATTACTTAGTTGCCAATCCAATAGAACTAGTCACCTTAACCAGCACGGTAGGTATATGTGTTAAAAGATACGCGATCGAAGACGGTGTTCTCTACTAGGTACACGTTCGTACTTTACTAGTTTGCTCGTAATGTTTTTCATTCATATTAAATAAATATTTCAAAGTTCATTACGTTATCTCTGGAAACATCAATATATATTTATATATATATTATATATATATCTACGAATATTTATTTGTATTTGTACAGTAGTATAAATATTCATCGATAACACTTTTCAGTTGTAATAAAATCGATGCTAATCTTATAACCCCCGAAAAGTGTTCCATAATAGGTACATTTGCCTTAGATACAATCTAGAGATTATATTTATATGTATAGGATATATAAAAAATATATTTTTTTGTTCAAATACACATACATATGATGCTGTCGACTTTTGTCCAGCACTGTACTTTCTCGCCTCGTTGAACGGACTGTAGGTGCCATCCGGTTTTAAGGTAACACCCCCTAGTATGAAAAATGGCGGAAACGTTGACTAAATTGAGTCTTCTCATTTTTATAAAGCACCGCTTTCCACTCACTGTTAGAGCCTAGTAGATTTAATGTTAAATACCAAAATATTCCCAACTTGTTACGCGCGCGTGCACTAATTAGAACTAATTATCGGTCACCATAAATTTCGAGGTAGCCAGAACAAAAGTAGCAAAAGCGGCAAAATGGAAAAATGTTCCATCTCAGGTGGAACATCTACCCTCGCTCACCACACCATTACATTGCCTCCCCCCGTCCCCGACGCTGTTCCTCATCCCGCGGGTCGCCTCTGTTGGCGTAGCTCCCTAAAAGAGATTCGTCCATTTCGCAGCTTATAACGACCTTTCGGGCGCGATACACCCGCGCAAAACCGTGCACGGTATCCGGGGCCGGTGGCGAGCCGGGGAAAATGCTTGCACCGGCCATTAGCGAGGTGCAACAATGCGGAACAAAGTAAACACGTGACTTGGCCGAAATGGTAACTCATGGCTCACACGTGAACCCGAGGGTGGAACGCGCGGTGGCCCGGAACGTCGAAAAGCTGGACAAGACTTGATTTTTCGAATTGGCGAATTGTAATATTCTTAGATCATAGTTCGAAGTACGATGCAACAAAAGTTAACTAGAAGCAGTTATTACACTGAACTGTAAAAATAACTTCAATTTGACTTTTATTGGCGTTGCGTATATTATAATTTTATCCGTTGTTTTCTATCACGATTTTATCACAACCAAACATCGGAAAATTATCTGCTACTGGAGTAGATCGAGGGATTGTTGTAATTATATACATACACCCCTGTAGCAGTACAAAAGCTCCGTCCTAAATTACCAAATAGAATATTTTTTATAATTTGTTAATAATTTGCTTTGCTTTATTTGCAAATTCTTTCTTTATGAATTGTTAATACTTGATTGCCGGAGTGAGTTAATTTGACACAAATCACAATTTTGTTCACGATTTTATATCATTCGCGATATATTATTATATACAAATAATTTTATATATATTATACATATTAATATTATTCATTATATATATATATTAGTTATATATATTATTAATTAATATTATTATATATAAATAAACTTAAATAATGTTATTTAAAACGTATGTTGGTCATAATTCTATTAAAAACCAACATATATTTTAAAAATAATGATTTAAGTTTTTCTATGTATGTATATAGCAATAAAGTCTTAAATGAGTCAAATATTGACTCGCTCTGGCAATCGAGTGTTAATTAGGTTAACACTTGGATATGCAATATATGTGTTTTATAATTATATCTTTGCTTATAAATGTTGCTAAAGAATAGGTTCCGGAACTCATTCAATGTTCATAAGTACGCATATACAATGTTTTATCAGAAAATGTCAATAAGTTGGACATAAATATATGATTTCAATTAGAAAATGTTTTTCCACCACATTTTCGGGGTAAATGGCCTACTGTTCATTGTCGGGCCATGGCGGGCCGCGGCAGGTCCGTCACGGTAGCTCGCAAAGGGCGAAGGGCGAATGCTATGCGACAGGGGTGCAGCGGGCGAGGGCGGCGAGCTTGTCGAACAAAGGGGTTACAGGAGGGCTGTATCAATACTCTATCAATATCAAATACAAACAGCCAGTATTCGAAAGGTAGAAGGAGGAAAGGGTGGCTGATATAAACCGTGTGCGGTTCGTCATTGCGTTCCCTTCGGTCACCAAGGAAACCGAGTGCGCCCATCGGGAGCCTGCGAAACGATCACCGGCGCGAGGGAAAATGCGAAAAGTCGTGTTCCCCGTTCTGTCGCCCTCGGTCTCTTCACCGGGAACGATGCCGCGACGCGAATTCAATGAGCTGCGGAGACAGACGACAAATTTTGGAATTCCACGACGGGGGTGTGGATAACCTATAAACCTTCGATAGTGTTCATCTTGCACTTCTCTGCACGCGGAAAGCGGATAAACGTATTTTTGGGTGTTTGCATTTTACTGTTCAATTTATTCGTCAAATTTTCCATTCGATTGGCACGGGTCTGATGAAGCTATATATTTTTGAGAATTCTTTTGGGATCCTTTTGCCACAAGGAGTCGAAATATTATAATACTTTACATCGGTCTCTCCGCGTGTATTTTTTAATAATACTTGATATACGACATATACATATTTCTCGTAGTTAAATATGTATTGGAAATATTTTGAGTCGCACTTCTTTGAACGAGGTCTTTCTGAAAAAAGATTCTTCCCAAACTTTTCCCTTTACAATTTAAAATTAGCAGACAAATGACATGCTTACAAGTACATACGTAGCTATCGTCATTTAATCAAATGGCGGGACTTTGAAGTTGAAATATTGTTTTTGCAGCTTCTTTTCTCACTTTTGGCATGATTTCGTGAGAATTTTGGCAGTGACAATGCGACAAGTTTGCTAAAGATTTAGATGACGACTATTAGATCTTTGAGATATGTGCTGTGTCAGCAAATAAGCTTAGGTTTCGATGACAAACATGTTCAAAATGTTCTTTGTTAGTTACATGTGCATATATAAACATGCATACGTTTCTCATTCATTTGTAACATCGTTATTTTCAAAAATTGAAAAGAGGTCCTTTTGCAGACATGTTTTTGAAGACATACACTTCAAGAAAATATTTAGTCTCTCTTTGATGAAATGCAAGAAGAGCTGTCAACCTAACCGCTGCGTCATTATATTACATTTATCCATCGCATTAATAATCGTCTTTATTATTTTATTACTTTTATAACATACTGCAGTATTTGGGGCATCCGCAAAAATACCCACACTTATCCTAGAAGTTTGATCAAAAAGATCTGCGGTATGTTCTATTGGAAATATGGAAATATTCGTTCAAAAAAACGAAGGTTTCAAGCCAGAGAAACGCCCCTGCGAAATAGCGGAAAGTTAAGGAAATCAGGGCTACGTAGTTGTCGTTATGCGCTTCAGTTACCGCGAGTTCCGTATTAATTTCTGACGAGGGGTCGACCTCGACTTTATTGCCAAGTTGAGTAATTGTCGGCTGAGTGTCTTGAGCGACGTGGCAGGGGTGCCGGTGCTTATTAGCCGTAATTGAATACGATGTTCTTTAACCGTACGGAGTTGCGTGAAGGAAACCATTATGCACGCGATAAGCGCCGTGTTATTTGTTGGCCAGGCGAATCCGAAGGGGTGTCGATTAATTTGTAATTTGATTAGGCAGGCCGTGCAGAGGGAAACGTGAGAAGTATACATATATTAGGATAGCATGCGGTCCGAGAAATTGATTAAATCGCACGGATGAACCGCACACAGTTTTTAACACGTTAAGAGGCAAGTATCAATTTCAAACATTTCCGCGAAATCGAAGTAATTTAATCAGTGATACTGAAGCTAAAAAGTTATTGTCTCACGCTGACTGCCAATTTAACGCTTTCGCATTGTCAAAATATAATCGAATATGTCACAGTGCAAACGAATTTCTAAACAGAGTCAAACATTAGCGTCAATTATTGCAATTTATGCAATAATTAGTTGCCTGTAACTAACTAACGTGCGGTACTCTGAGATTTATTCTATTATCGAGATAGCGTTATTTTTGTTTTATAATGTCCAGGAAATTTTGGGAATTGTTCTTCTGTTATAAATTGAAAAAATTGAAAACCGAAATTTTATAATAAATGTCAAGCATTGAGAATTGTAATTGTGTTATAAATAAACAAAGATTGAGGATTGTTATTCTATCATAAATGAAAAAATTGAGAATTGTTCTTCTTTTATAAATTAAAAAAAAAT